CTGGGCTCAGGTGATCCTTCCACCTCAGCCTTCCAAGTAGCTGGAATTACAGGCACATACCACCATGGCCCACTAATTTTTAGATTTATTGTAGAGACACGGTCTCACCAAGCTGCCCAGGCTGGTCTCGAACAGCTGGACTCAGGCAATCCTCTCACCTCGGCCTCCCAAGGTGCTGGGATTACAGGCTTGAGCCACTGTGCCCAGCCTCGTCTCTTTAAGGAAATAATTAAAAAATTAGCCAGGTGTGGTGGTATGTGCCTGTAGTCCCAACTACTTGGGAGGCTGAGGCAGAAGGATCACCTGAGACCAGGAGGTGGAGGCTGTGGTGAGCCGTGATCATGCCACTGTACTTCAGCCTAGATGACAAAGTGAGACCCTGATTCAAAGGAAAAAAATATATATATATGCCAAATAAAGTATAAACATTTTAAGGGATGTTATCTACTACTCTTGAAGTTGAATAAAATTATGACAGCAATGTGTGGTATGATGTTCACTCAACCATGCTTCTGCCGTTTGTTTTTTTTTACTATCCTGCCTGTTGCATGGTGATGCTAGCATTCGTTTGATTAATGCCATCTTTTGAGTGAGCCTCATACTTAAAATGTGTATACATATTTTTGGTACCACCTCTACATACTGAGATACACACACACACACAGATTTTTTTGAAGAGATTCATTTAATCTTCTGGAGAATTGTAGATTTACTGGAAGAGTTTTCACTTGGAAAATACAAGCTGTCAGAGCAAAGTGACCCTGAACCATCAACATCCAAACCCGAATTTCACCAGGAGACGCAGCAGCATCAGAAATCAGAGGCTGGGAACAGAGCTGATCTGTTTGTGGCTTTCTGAAGCACTTGCTCTCTGAAGCTATGTACTTGTGGCCATTCCACAGGGATTAATAAGCCCATCAAAAAGGAAAATGCCTTTGCAGAGGCAAACAACATGAGTACAATATTTTCATTGATGGAAATCTGCCCCCAAAACAAATGCTGTTCCTCAGGCCCCTATAGTTAAAAAATCTGTCTGGACAAATGGAATGAGAATTGTGGCCAAAAGAATTTGGAGTGTATTTATGGTGCTCTTCTGTTTTATATTTTGGTGGTTGACTCATTTTTAGTTCCATCTAACATGATTCAATCATGTGCTATCTAATTGATTCTTCAAGTTATTTTCCATTTGCATTCAGAAATAAATGTCCAACTTGTTCTAAAGGAAAACTCAGTTTTTCCTGGGTCAGTTAGACTCACAAAGGGATGTGAGGAAGGAACAGATTGCTGTTTTGAAAAGAGGCACAGTAGGCTCTAGGGACCGCACCTCTCACCTGCTGGCACCTGATGGCAGCAAGAGCCAGTTGGTGCCCTAGGCAGAAGTTTCAGATGGATAGAAAGGAACTTACAACCCATGGCAGCGACTGCCCAGTTACAGGTGCCTGATAAGGGCCTAGGCTCGTAAGCTGGTGGTCATTAACAAATGATGTCTCTGAGCTGCATTTTGCTCATCCACGAGCACTGATCTGTACATCTCGCAAGGCTGTTGTGGGATTAGCAAAAATTTAAAGACCCAGTTGCACACTTTGTATTCATCCTTGGAAGTCACGACTGCAAATTCCCTCCTTAGAGCCCTGCTATTTGAAGCGTGGTCTGCAAACCCCTGTTAGGCTATGAGCTCTTTGTTGCTATCCTGCCACAAGATAAAGCTTGCACCCAGCAAATAAATCCACTCTATGACCATATACACTGTTAAGTTCAGCTGATATTTATTTTTCATAGCAAGATGACCACAATGGAGGAAGTAATGCATTGATTTACATTAGAGTGCAATTTCCCTCTGCCATTGTGGAGTGGCACTTCTGTGCCCTAGAACGCCCCAGGAGCAGGTTAAAGAAGTAGTAGCCACAGCAGCAGCAACCAGTGATGAGGGCACTGGGCTAGGAGCCACTGGCTGGCCTCAACAGTTGAATACAGTTGCATGATTTAACCTCTCCAGCTGGGTTTGTTTATCTTGAAAATGAGAATTGATTTGAGGTTCAAAAAAAGATACACAGACACACACACACACACACACACACACACACACACACACACACACACACACACACATACACATACATACACACCCTCATATATGCATTTTAAAAATTCTAAAGTACTTTTCAAACAAAAGATTATATTGTTGTGATTGTGAATCTTTTTCTGTTGCTTTTTAGTTCTAAATATTACAAGTCTTAGAAGTCTGATATAGACCGGGCATGGTAATTCATGCCTACAATTCCAGCACTTTGAGAGACTGAGATGGGAGGATTGCTTGAGTCCAAGAGTTCAAGATCAGCCTGGGCAACAGGCTTGTCTCTGCAAAATCCAGAACTTGTCTCTGCAAAAAATTAAAAAATTAGCCAGGTATGGTGGTGTGTGCCTGTAGTTCCAGCTACTGGGGAGGCTGAGGTGGGAGACTCGCCTGAGCCCAGGAAGTGAAGGCTGTGGTGAGCTATGATCATACCATTGTACTCCAACCTGGGAGACAAAGACCCTGACTCAAAAAAAAGTCTGATGTAATTAATTAATATTCAGTGGTCCTAATTCTCAATCTACTTTAGTAAACTATTTGCCCTTCTAAAAATTTTTATTTTTATTAAAATAATTAATTGACAAAAAAAATATATTTATTGTGTGAAACATGATGTTTTGGTATATGTATACACTGAAATGACTCAATAATGCTAAACAACATATGTATTACTCCACATACATATTATTTATTTGTGGTGAGAACACTTAAAATCTACTCAGCAATTTTCAAGAACATTTGAAATTAACTTTGTTATTGTTATTACTATAGTCATGCTATAGAACCAATCTCTTGCTTACTCCTCCTAACCAACTGAATTTTGTATCCTTTGACCATGTCTCCCCAATCCCTACCTGTTACCCCTGGTAATCACTGTTCTGTCCTCTGCTTGAGTTCAACTTTTTAAGACGCTACATATAAGTGAGATTGCGCAGTACTTGTCTTTCTGTGTTTGGCTTGTGTCACTGGACATATGTTCTCCAAGTTTATCCACATTCCTACAAATGACAGGATTTTCTTCTTAAAGTCTGGGTAGTATTCCATTGTGTTTATATACGACATTTTCTTTACTTAGTCTTTTGAATGACAAATTTCTAGCCTGTAAAGTTGGGTTAATCTCTATCTCAGACAGTTAGGGTCAGGTTAACTGAGATATTGTCTGTAAGATACATTAATAAGCTCTAAGACATAATTCAAATGTTATTTTTTTTCTCAGTGATATTCTAGAAGACAGGACGATAGAGCATGGTAATGGAAAACACATAGCAGGCTTGCTGCCAACACCCTGCCTCAGCAGACCTTGCTAACACATCATGATAGCGTTACCCCCAACTCATGACACCATCTCATGAATCATGAATGTTTCTCTTCTCACAGTTTTCTAAGCAAATACTACTGGTTAATCAGGGTTGGTCTTCAGGCTGGAACATGGTATTGTTGAAAACAACTCAGGGACTAAACTCTAAACTCAGGGACTCTAAGTTAGAATAGACCCAGGTTAAGACCCTAATTCTTCTACTTACAGCTGTATGATCAAGGTAAGTTATCTCACTGAGTTTAAATGTTCTCAGCTGTAAGAATGATGAAACTGATCACATTGTGCCACAGTGTGGATTCAATTAAGTAATGTATGCAAAAGACATACAGTATGTGGTAGATGCTAGGTTCCTTTCCTTCTAATTTCATCCATTTCTCCAAAATATCAAACTTCATTCAGTGTTATTATTGATTTGATTCCGTCGAGTTAAGGATGACTCGTGGATAAAATTTTCAGAGTTCAGTGCCCATATAACCCATACTATACCTGAAAAATTGTATAGAAATCAACAGAGTGCTTATGTCATAAGATTCTGCTGGAAATCGTCAAAACACAAAAACAAAAACAAAAATCTTAACATTAAATGACTGCAAGTGTTCTCTTATTTATTTCATGTTTTTTTTTTTTAGGGTGAACGTGGGGAATGCGGTAAACCAGGAATAAAAGGTGACAAAGTAAGAAGCATGTTTTTAAAATGCTAACAGCTGTGATCCCTTGTGGGCTGCATTTCCTTAAGGGGACACTCCTGGGCTGAATTATGTTGCTCTCACTACTAGAGTTGGAGTCAATGGCTCGATTTTCACATCTGTAAAACATGAAGTAGAAAACTAAGTGATGCCTAACTTAGTTAATGGAGCCCCCAAATGCCTTTCTTATGGACCATTAAAAGACTTTGTTTTGTGACATCCTAACCTTGGAGGCCAGGCCTACTAAATGATCTGGTGAAAAGAATAATTTAACCAGCCAAGTCAGTTCCAGCCCTGTCAGAGCAGAATCACTTTCCAGATGTAAATAACACTGAGAACCGGCACTCTCTAAGCAGAGTGGAGAACTCTATGAAATAAGCTAGTGAGATAGTTATAAACAATGTGGCACAATTAGACACAGTGGTTTGGAATTTCGAGAATGCGGCAAGACACAGGTAATTGGATAGGTGTCTACCTTTAGTTAAAAAGTAAATATGGATAAAGCACTTAAACTGGAAATGATATTAAGTATGTTAAAGAGTTCCTCAACAGACCAAAGATATAGAGAGATTACATCTGAACATATAACATTAAAGGAAAAATATAGAGTAAAATTAGTTTTCATTATAGTTAAGCACTAACAGCATGCCACCAAAATACTTAACTCTTTCAATATCTGTATTGTAATTATGGGAGGGAGTCAATGAGAGAAAGGAGACAGGAGGTTAAAAGAAGAGGGTGAGATAATGACACTGGCCCATAGAGCTAAACACTGTAAACAGCTCGAGACTTTCTGAAAGTTTTTAGACTACTGTAGAGTGAAAGGTCAGGTGAATATGCAGGATGTGGGCTTGGTAATTATCTCTGGGCAGATGGAAGAGTGTGATAATGAATACGTTCTTCCTGGAGGTTAATTGGAAATGGAAGATGGACACAGGTACTTGGAAATATAGAAGGAACAGGCATAGAGGAAAACCGAAATGAAAGTCAAACAATAACTGGAAAAATTATATGCAAAGAAAATGGTTGACAAGGAATTAATTTCCTATTTCATTGACTAAGATGCTGGGGATCGATAAATGCCCCATTATTTTCTGTGCCAAAAAGGAAGAAAGAAAAAAAAATAACCACCAATGATAAATATAAGATGCAATTGATTTCAAGACACACCTCAATGTCAGAGATGTAAAAATGTGACAAAATGTGTATCTTAGAATCAATGAGATATCGTATCCTTAACACAAAGAGTTCACACAAGTTTATTTTAAAAACATACGGCTCTTTCTGCCATCTTTCTGTGCTGCCATGGTGCGCATGAATGTCCTGGCTGATGGTCTCAAGAGCATCAACAATGCCAAAAAGAGAGGCAAACACCAGGTTCTTATCAGGCCACGCTCCAAGGTCATCGTCCGGTTTCTAACTGTGATGATGAAGCATGGTTACATTGGTGAATTTGAAATCACTGTTGAGCACAGAGTTGGAAAAATTGTTGTGAACCTCACAGGCAGGTTAAACAAGTGTGACGTGATCAGCCCAGATTTGATGTGCAATTTAAAGATCTAGAAAAGTGGCAGAATAATCTGCTTCCATCCCACCAGTTTGGCTTCATTGTACTGACAAACTCAGCTGGCATCATGGACCACGAAGGTTAGAGTCACCTGGGAGCATCTAAAACCCCCTTTCCCATGTGCACCCTCTACCAATTAAATCAGAATGTCTTGGGGTTGGAGCCAGGCATTAATATTTTTAAAGATTCCCAGATGATTGCAATGTGCAACAAACTTTGGAAAACACTTCCCCAACGTTCTGTTGAACTCACTTAGGTTCCCTAAAGGTAGGTCCCAACAGGCAAGTCGTCTCAGTGAGTAGCTAAGGGGATGAAGTTAAAAATTAGAGTCTGGAAGATGAAGAAAGTCAAAGTAGTCAAAAGTAGAATGTAACTATTTTTGCATTGCTACTTTGAAATCCTGGGATTCTTTTTCTAGGGATGTAATGCATATGTACAAATAAAAAACCTCAGTGGAAAAAACAAAACAAAACATATGAACCACATGAAGAGACACAAACGAGGCAATATAAGTGGTTAATAAATGAGAAATACATCCAAACACACTAGCAATCAGATAAGTGAGATTAAGACATTAAAATACTATTTCATGGACAACCCCCTAGGATCCTCTCCCATTGTGGGAGCTTTTCTGTACTCTCAATAAATCCTGTTTTCAAAAAAAGAATACTATTTCACATATCAAACTAGCAAACACTGAAATAACATATAATGCTGAGTGTTGAGAGGATTCCGTAAGCTGAAGACGAACTTGCTCATACCTAGGTAGTGGGAATGGACAACAAACCAACTTTATGGGGAAAGTACCTCTTTCTTTCCGTATTCGGTGTGAGAGACAAAGATTCAGCAAGAGCCTTAAATGTGCTTGTAGTCTCTGCCTCTGTCATCTTCTAGGAAGAAATAATTAAGAATGAAGCAGAAGTTGGGCAATAATTTATACACAAAGGTGTTCATCATAATGTTACTTAAAACAGCAACCATCACAATGCTTGAAGGTCAGAACTAGGAAAATGAATACACAACTGATGATAGGTCCCTATTCTTGAATAATATTCTGCTTACTATGAGTTTTTAATAACATGGAAAAATATTTTTGGTACAATGTAAGGCCAAATAGGTAGGACACAACATTGGATGTACATTTTGATAAATTTTTTTGAAGAAAAATCTATTGGGAATAATTCTGGATTAAAATATGCCAAAAATGTTTTGGCATTTAAACTGGAATTACTTCCATGTGATTTTTTTAAAAGTTTTTTTTTACATTTTTTTCTGTAATTGTCAAAGTATGTTTATCATTAGCAGGGTATACTTTGATAAGCAAAAGAAAAGTAGAAATCCAGGGAACGAGAAACTATATTATATTCTCATAAAAATACCTTTTAAAGGATTTTCTAGTCATGGAACACATTGAAATACTCTCTATTTGAAGAGCGTTGAGTATAAATAGTGTTTTGCTAAGTTCCATGTCTTGCAGAGTGATCTAGAAATTAATGGAAATGAACGAAATTGGTATTTTAACTAACATTGCCTTGTTGGAAGAAAACAACATTCCACGATCTACTTCCTTCTAAGGAATCTTATGAAGTAATTCTTTAACTAAAATGTCATATATAGGCCAGAAATTTCCATCTAAAATTATATTTTCATGGAGTTTGTTTACTAAAGTTTGACACCCCTCCCCCACCCTGGCTTGTTGATTAGGATCATTTCAGTGTATTGGTTTTGAATAACCAGAACACATTTCCTTCCCTTGCACCTAAAATACTGCACTTTGAAGGACTTATTGTCAATTTTATTCCACAGGGATCCCCAGGGCCATATGGACCAAAGGGACCCAGAGGACTTCAGGTAAAGAGGTTAAATCCAAATTGAAGTCTGGATTAGAGTCACCTGGGAGCATCTAAAACCCCCTTTCCCATGTGCACCCTCTACCAATTAAATCAGAATGTCTTGGGGTTGGAGCCAGGCATTAATATTTTTAAAGATTCCCAGATGATTACAATGTGCAACAAACTTTGGAAAACACTTCCCCAATGTTCTGATGAACTCACTTAGGTTCCCTAAAGATAGGTACCAACAGGCAAGTCATCTCAGTGAGTAGCTAAGGGGATGAAGTTAAAAATTAGAGTCTGGAAGATGAAGAAAGTCAAAGTAGTCAAAAGTAGAATGTAACTATTTTTGCATTGCTACTTTGAGATAGTTGGAAAAGCTCTGCATTTTATTTAAATTACAGTATTTATACTGTTCCAACACTACAAGCAGTTGTGCGCTATAATATGAACTGATTTATTTGTTAGACACCCTTTGGACTTCAGAAATAGTCTGGATCATTTTTTCCCAGTCTAAGAACTTGTCTTTTCTAACATCATAATGGGTGTGTGTGTGAAAAATTAATTTCAGTATTTCAAAAAATCTACTGAAAATTATACTTCCACCCAGGATTTCCTAGACAGCATCTTGTTAACCACAAATTTCTTTGATTTGGCCTGGACTTGTCAGAACAGAGCAGTAACTCTGGTTATCACAGAGTCATTGGAAGCTCTTTCAATTATATATGCCGTAGATTTTTTGGTAGCGCATGCCTATAATTCTGGCTACTTGGAAGGCTGAGGCGGAAGGATCGCCAGAGCCCAGCAGGTCGAGGCTGCAGTGGCCAGGAGCGGCCACTGCACTCCAGTCTGGGTGACAGAGTGAGACTCCAACTCAAAAAAAAAAATTAAAAAAAAAGATGTTTAATCAGCAAAATCTTTCAAAAAAGGGGTTTAGTGTAGGAATAAACTTGAAAGCAAAGGTTTATAAAACAGATATCTCAATAAAATGTTTGCTGTCAGCATAAGTGCTATTTAAAAGCTATTTATTTGATTCAAGAAATTTTACCTCATTCCATTTCTCAGTTGAATGTGATCTCAATTTTGCTCTGAGTTGTATAGTCTCACTTCTAACTCCAGGGTTTCTAGGGACCCTAGAGAAGGGTTCATTCCTGGCTGGCCTTTTGTAAACAGGACTAATTCTTGGTTTTCATCTTGGAGCAGGGCATCAGTGGACCTCCGGGGGACCCAGGCCCAAAAGGAATTCAAGGCAATAAGGTAAACTTACCCTTTGGTGAAAGGCAGGCAGAGTGGCTTTTCCCCCTTGTGCACTATGATAATATGTATTTCATTAAGCAGAAGTCAACAAACTCTTTGGGAATTTAACTTTGAACATGCATAATAACCTACAGGTGTATACACAGAACGAAGTTCAAGTACATGCAGGAAGTCAGTGGCATACCTTCTTCATTGATTATTACATCTTTCAAAAGGGGCATTATTAAATATCAGCCATTATCTAGAATCTTCACCATGTTTCCTTCTTACTCCTGACCTTTAGTCATTTTATGGCTCACTAGAAACTGAAAAGGAGTAGCAACTAACACAGTTCAGACCACTCTATTGCCCACAAATAATACCAACTCAATATGCAACTTATAGGGGAAGGAAAATTATGGCTGTTGTACCAACAGAAATCAACTTTTAAAATTATCGTTCCAAGGAAATCTCAACCGTCAGTACCATATTTGTAATATAATTCCCCAGAGAACTAGCGAAGACTGACAGGGAGGGGTTGAATAAGAGCCATACAGACACAAAAGAGGCCAATAAGAAGGATTTTCCAGTCAGGCTTGGTGGCTCAACCTGTAATCCCGCACTTTGGGAGGCCGAGGTGAGTGGATTGCCTGAGTCCGTGGGTTCGAGACCAGCCTGGGCAACTTGGTGAGACCTCATCTCTAAAATAAATCAAAAAATTAGCCGGGCATGGTAGCACGCCCCTGTAGTTCCAGCTACTTGGAAGGTCAAGGCTGCGGTGGCCAGGAGCTGTGCCACTGCACTGCAGTCTGGGCAACAGAGTGAGACTTCAACTCAAAAAAAAAAAAAAAAAAAAGGTTCTTCCAAAGACCTGGTAATGAGGCTTCCTTGTCCAATGAGAGTGGCGTTCATTTGCTTTTAGCCCAGCAGGAGTGCAATGGCACACTCGGAATCATCCCAGCCCCGACCCTGCTGTGCTCAGGCGATCCTTCTGCCTCAGCCTTCCAAGTAGCCGGAACCACAGGCGCACGCTACTATGCCGGGCTCATTTTTCGATTGATTGTAGAGACGAGGTCTTACCAAGTTGCCCAGGCTGGTCTTGAACCTCTGGGCTCAAGCAATCCTCTCACCTCCGTCTCCCAAAGTGCTGGGATTATAGGCGTGAGCCACCTCGCCTGGCCACTTTTAGTTTCTTTTTACAAAAATTTATAAAGAGGTTTATTTGGCTCATGACTCTGCATGGGGCCTTCTTCTGCTCAGCTTCTGGTGAGGCCTCGGGAAGTTTTTACTCATGGCATAAGGCCAGGAGAGATGGCGTGTCACATGGCCAGAGTGGAAGCAGGAGAGTGAGAAGGGAGGTGCCAGGCTCTTTTATTTTTAATTTTTACGTATTTTTTCTTTATTTCAATAGCCTTCGGGCGATTCCTTTTTTAATTCTTCTCAATGCTTAGTTACATTTTTCATGGATATAATAAATATCCAATAAGTGGAGTTGACTTGTGACTGGAGTTACATGGAACTTTTGGCAGTAGTAACAGCAGAAGATGCAGTCCTCAACTGACCTTTTAAGGGTGACATTAACTCTAAGTTGTAGAAGGCAGCTGGGCTACTTGAAAGAGAGGAAAGGGAATAAGTGTAGTATTTTTAATGTGATAATGGTGGCATGTAATTTACCAGGCCACTTTTAATTGACAAATTAAAACAGAATAGGCTTCTCTGTGGGAGTGAACTTAAGTGTCTTCTGGGGAAAATGTCTTTTCCAGTCTTTGCCTATGATTAATTCACTCTGGGGAAGAAAGAAATGGCCTTGTTGAATACTGAGAAGTGTTCATAAAATTGCATTGACCATAGGTAAAATCCTGCCCCTAAGAAAACAAAAAAAACACAAACATTGTGACAGTCCACACATATTTTTAGAATTCTTTGGTTACCTAAGATGCTACTTTTTACATGTTTGTGAAAAAGAGGCTTAAAATCAGGGGTCTGAGCCAGGGTTGCAACTGTGATGGGATTACAGAATGTTTGAACCCAAGGAATGTTTGTGATCATACTGGCTGACAGGTTCATTCTGGAAATGAGAAATGGAGTCTGAAGATCAAATGGTTCTCCTTCTGAAGCAGAGAGACAGCCAGGTCTGTCTTTGGGCTTTGGGGAGGGGCTGGGCTGAGGACAGTACATGTAGCTTTGGGTGATGGTGACTGTGGTGTTGGTGGTGGTGGTGGCAGTGTGGACAGGGCCACAAAAGGTGCTATTATTCTTCATATCTCATAATCTTACTATTTAGGTTTTTTTTTTTTTTTTTGAGTTGGAGTCTCACTCTGTCGCCCAGACTGAAGTGCAGTGGCTGCTCCTGGCCACCGCAGCCTCGACCTGCTGGGCTCCGGCAATCCTTCCGCCTCAGCCTTCCAAGTAGCTGGAACTACAGGCGTGCGCTACCACGCCCGGCTGATTTTTTGATTTATTGTAGAGATGAGATCTCGCCAAGTTGCCCAGGTGGGTCTCGAACCCACGGGCTCAGGCAATCCACTCACCTCAGCCTCCCAAAGGCGCAGGATTACAGGCTGAGCCACGGAGCCTGGCTAGGTTTTTTTAAAGAGAAATTATTTCAACAAAATTTAGCTTTCCATTCCAGCAATGCATTAATTTTTAATGAATAATGAGTCAAGTGGGGTTTTTTTGGTGGGGGTGGTTATAATTTTTCTGAAATAATAACACCTCACATGTTGCCTTTCATGGTGTAATCACAAAAGGAGTTATTTTCTAAAAGTGTTTGAGGACTGCATCGATCTCCCGAGGGTCTCTCTTTTGTAAAATATACATGATGTGAAATTACCTCTTAAGTTTTAATCACAAAGTTCACTGCCTGGTGAACATACAAAGTTCATTGCCAATGGAACAGATGTTAATTTCTAGAGAATGTTGGAAATTGTTGGGAGGCTGTGAGATGGGGGTGAGTTTCTCTTTCTCCCTCTAGTTATGTTTCTTGTTCAAGTTCACAAATCTAGTGGTGTCTTGACTCTTACTTCAAGACTATTACTAACTTCTGAATAATTTCTACTACTCGTTGGATCCATTAGCCAGAGAGCAATGTCACATTGCTCATTAGGTAATTTTTTCACTTTATGCATTTATTACTGTACTGTCTTAAATGTTAGTTTCAAGGAATGATTTCATTTTGCCTCTCAGAATGTATTGTAGTACTAAATTTTGAAGATGTAATAACTACTTTGTACCTCAGTCTGGAAATAATGTTATATTCTATAGTGACTTATTTCTTTTCATCCATCAACATTTTATAAGAAAATGTTTTTAAGAAACTGCTATTGCAGTTTGTGCAAAAAAAAAAAAAAAAGTCCCCAAATCCAGTAATTCTGTATTCTCTAATGGGTACAAGGAAAATTATTTACTTTGAAACGTTATAGAATGATCTATAATAATTGTTAACTTTTATTTATTGTATCTTTACTACATACAAGTACAGTTTTAAGAACTCATTGAATATTAATATCACCTACTGAGGCATAATCTATTCTTATTCCCGTTGTACATATTAGTGTAAAGGCATAAAGAGTTTGAGCAATGGGTAATATAAAAAATCTGTAGAGCTAGTAGGGGACAAAGTCAGGATTCAAACTCAGAAGACTGCTCGTAACCACCATATTATATTTATCCTCTTAGAAAAGTTTACTGAATTTCCTGAATATTTGGCCTGAGATAAGTGCATTTCTTTTGAACAGTATGGAAGTTCCCTCTGTCTCCCTTTCCAGTGGACTCTGGTTGGGAACAACAGTTTGTTGAAAAGTGTATTTCTACTTGGTTATACAAGGGGGGACCCAAACCCCGCCCCGAGAATTATCTTTTGGAGGGCAGGTCCCTTGTAGTACAGGCTTCCCCTACTACATAAGTATTCTAGGAGCCCATTGGCATCAGTGGACCAGCTAGTGTTGTTGGGAGAGACTCTGTTTGGCTTCATTGAATTTTTTTTTGGAGATTCTTTCAGCATATTTGCCCATTTCATGATGAGTGATTTAAGAGTGCACCTGTCCACACCACACTGAGTGTTCAATGGTTTTTGACCAAAAATGGCACTCTCTATATTCACCCGATCTTACCGCGTTTTATTGTTTTCCCAAATGAAAGAAGTCCTCCAAGGAAATGTTTTGCCAGTGTGGAAGAAGTGAAACAAAAATCAACAGAAGCACTCAAAGGTATCAAAATCGACAAGTTCGAAAACTGTTTTCAGCAGTGGGAAAAAGTGTCTCAATAGGTGTATTGCGTCAAACGGAGAGTACTATGAAGGTGACTGAAGTTTAAACTTGTAAGAATAAATACACACATTTTTATAAATAAATTTCAGTTTTTTTGTGGTCCTCCTTTGTAATGCTCATCTGAAAGTGCAGGAAAGAAAAGAAGGAAATCACTTGGGGGAGAGAACACCATAATGCTAATTGTTCATTTTCAAATATTAGATCTCTTATGAGATCTCAAACTAGAAACCTTTAGACCTGTAGCATCTGCAAAGATTCCATGTGAGTTTCTAGGTGGGGCCTGTCTATGTTTATAAAATTATGAACAATCTTTCTCATGAACTACAGTCACTTTCTGTTGTTTTAGGGCTGGATTTTCTTCATCAAAGGATTTTTTTTTTTCAGAAAAGGTGGTCAAAGGACAAAAGCATGTGTTAAATCAAGAAAAAAATGTGCTTCTGGCCCAGTTTCACGAATAATTTCGGTCATTAATATTTTCCACGTGTAAAGTAGCTCCTAGCCTGCCCTGAAAGCCTCTGTTGCCTTAGCAACAAAACAGAAATGCTTCTCAGAATGAAGCCTTGGCTTGTAGGCTGCCTCGGCCTCTCCCACACACGAGTGCCTTGTAGTGGCATTTATAAGAGCATCTCAGCAGTCTCTGAAATCAGTTAGAACTGTAAGCATGCAAGTGTCCAAGAAGCCTTATCCCTCAGACCACACTGCAAATGTAACTCAGAAGAGAGTGCTGTGCTCCCAAGAAAGACCGAACTCCTA